ACCTAAGAGAATCACCTGAAAATTATGAGAAAGAATTAAAGTTCTTCATGGTGGCAGGTTATAAAAATTATTTTGCCCTGTTGACAAACTGCTGAAAATATGGTAGCATAAAAATATCCCATTCATAATAAGCAACGAATAGGAATAAATTTATGAATGTTGTACAAGATTTACAGAAGAAAACCATAATCCACTGAGGGATCTTAAAAGCCCCTGTATGATTTTTTTAAAAGACATACTTAATCCTCAGATAAGATGAATATTTTGATGATATCAATTTTTCCTAAATTAATCCTATAAATTAARCCCAAAAGGATTAAATTAAATTGAGAGAACAAGCAAATAGCTAATAAAGTACTAGACAGTATTAGCCTATCAAACATTTCAATGTATTGTAAATCTATTTGACTCTGGAATGTAGAGGCATGTCAATGGGATAGAATAATCTATTTTTAAAGTGCCTAAATGTATGTAGAGTTTAAGAAATGATGAAGTAGCGTTCTAAAACAATGAGGAAAGGTTAGATTTTTTTCCACATTTAAAAAAAATATTTTTTAGTTGTCAATGGATATTTTATTTTTTTTTATTTATATGTGATGTTGAGGATTGAACCCAGGGCCTCACACATGCCAGGCAAATGCTCTACCACTGAACCCCTACTGCAGCCCCCTCCCTCCCATTTTTTTATTGGTGCATTATAATTGTACATAATGATGGGATTTTTTGTTACATATTTGTACATGCACACAACATAACAATATAATTTGGCCAGTATTACTCTCCAACGCTTCCCCTTCCACTCCCCTCAGGTTAGATTGTTTTTAAAAATAGTGCTGAGACAGTTGGCTACCCATATAGGGTAGGGAAAAGGCAACATCTTGTCTTAGTCTGTTTTCCGTTGCTATAATGAATACCTAAGATTCAGTGGTTTATAAAGAAAAAAGGTTTTATTTTGGCTTATGGTTCTGAAGGCTGGAAACTCCTAGGTCTGGTGGCAGCATGCGGTGAGGGCCTTGTATTGCTTCAACACATGRTACAAAGCAAGTGGGCCACTGGAAGAGAAGCACAAGAGAGTGAAGGAAGCTAAACTTGCTTTGTAACAGCTTGCTCCTGAGGTAACTAATCCAGCTGTGTTCAAACAAGAAGGAACTCACCTGAGAAGGGCAYGAATCCCTTCATGAGGGCTCTGGTCCCTGACCCAAATACCTGCCCCTAGGTTCAGTCTTCAGCACTGCCACATAAGGATCAAACCGCAGCATGGGTTTTGTTGGGGACAGATGACATTCAAGCCATAGTAGATTCTTACTGCATTTCTCACAATAAGTTCCAGTCAAAGCAGGGGCAGGCTGTTTGTCTAACCATGCCAAAAAAATCAGAAGCTTCCATTTGACTATATAAAATAACTAAAATTCTGTATATGATATAGAAACAGTGTAAACACAACCCAGTGAAATGGGTAGACCAAGGAGTAATAGATGTATAAAGTGATTTTTTATCAGGTCACATTTATAAAAAGGAATACAACAAAAGTAAAAATACAAATTGCTAATAAAAAGACATTGCGAGTCATTTTCTTGATTGCAAACAACAGAAACTGACACCAGTTAGCTTCAGCAATAAAGGAATTTATAGGAAGCCTATCAGGTTAGTTCACGGGATAAATAGAGCCGGAGAAACAGGCTTGGGCAGAAATGCAGGAAGGCAGATACTGGTCAGAACTTGCCATGAGAGCAGCTACCTAGAGACTGCTGCCACTGTCCCTGGCCCTGTCCACCACCGCCTGCCACACTGCTGAAAACACTCACTCATTTACTGCTTTATCTCTAAGTCACTTTGTATCAACACTCCCAGAGCCAAAGACCAGGTAGGAGCTTCTGGCTGGTGTTCATGGGGTCACCTTCCTGGTTTCTACCTAACAGGGGGTGACTGGTCAAGTGGGAGGGGAACACCTTCTCTCCATTCTGGCCCAGTTTTTATAACAGGAGTTTGGGTGGTCCTCCCCAATTTGATATCCCTTCTAGACAGGGCGCAGCTTTAAATGTTGGATAGCTCAAAGGCCGGCACACGATATGCAACCTCATTCATTCGAGAAGCCAACCGACATGCCGTCACATGGTTCATCAAATTTGTTCTCGTGTTTAATAAAATCGCACTCTGCCTGCTACTTACCAGCAGGGTACGAGGCACCTGAATATATTATCGGATATACTAATATCCATAAAAACGTGAAGAATGAGGGGTGACTCTTTTTCATAGATGAAAAAAACCGACTCTTGAAGAAATAGGTCATTTTCCTCCCGTCATCTCTCAAGTGTGAAGCAGGGTTAACTTATTCAAACCCAGGCCTTTTGAAGACCCAGGCATAATGCCGACATCTGGGTTATTGGTCGTCAAATTTGCTGATGTGAAAAAGCCTGTAAAACTCAACACTATCTTGGAGGTGGGAAATGTGTGCCCCTTATTCACTGTTGGCTGGATAAAACATTTCTAGAGGTCAGAGTGACAATAGGTGTCTTGTACGAAATGTGTGTACCCTTTGATCTGAGGTTTCCATCGAAGGATTGAGACGCAGGGGTGGACGAAGCATAGGTCATGATAATATTCCTGCCATGTCACTTTTATTTGTGTTGAATCAATGAATAGCTTAAGAATAAGGGGGAACAGTGGAAAGTTTACTACATTGTCCCACCTTCCACTCCACTCCCCACCCCCAGAGAGCTGGGGATGGGACCCAGGGCCTCATGYGTTCTAGGCAAGCACTCGACCACTGAGCTACCGTCCAAGCAGGAGATTTACTACAGAACGCTGTTTGGGGTAAGTCCTACAAGAATGACTGAGTGCTCCAACTAGGGACTCTTTCAAGCCTGTTCTGGCCAATCTCTATGGCTTTGGTGTCCTTGAGGACCATGAAGCCTAGAAGGGTAGGAGAGGCCAGACTGGGAAGGGGGTTCTCAGGTGTCCTTCAAAGAGTTCAGATGTCATTTAGATATTGCTTCATAATAACTATACCTTACAGTATTGGGTATTGAGTAATATGGGTCTCTTCTGGGTTGAAGCCTGTAACTCAAGAGTGAAGGTGACAGATTGCAAGTGGAATTTCAATGTGATCAAGTCAGTGTCATGACTTAGAGGGACCAAGACAGCCTGCAGTAGGGGTTGCACCTTCCTGGAGGGGTTGATRCCTAAGGTGAGACTTTTGAGGATGAGGAGAATTTAGCTAAGTAAAGAATTTCAAGGAGAGATGTCTACAGCAGAGGAAACCCATTGCGCAAAGGCTTGGAACAGCAAATGTGTGCAAACCTTGAAGGTCATTGTGCTTTTCTTTTAGGATGAGTGATCAGACAGATWTCTTGCTGATGTTCTGATGAGCTGAAGGTGCATCGAGGAACGGATGTTTTGACTAAGGGGTGGGAAAAGAGGTGGTTTGGGCCACTGCAGAGAACCCCAGGGGTATCACTATGGAACCCTACTTACCGGGAGGAGGTCAAAGACAACAGCCACTTACTTTGAAATGGACCTAAGATGACCTTCACTTTTTAAAAAGGCAAAGGGTTCTCCGATGATTTTTCTCTTCTTCAGTAACCAGGACTTAGCAAAGAGAATACACACAGAAGAGGTCACAGACCCGTGGCTTTGGGGCTTTGCAGCTTAAATACATACTGTTCTTTCCCCTACCCCCGCACTTTTTAAATTGAAAACCAACATTTAAAAATAGGATTTCCGCCTTCTCTTTAAAAATCGGATGATCTGGCAACACAGTCATCATTCTTGCATGGAAACAACTAACTAGCGCTGAGCGGACGCCACTCATTTAAAAGGAAAGATGTTGATTTGTAGTTTGCCCCCATCATTTCTTATATTCTCCCCAACATTGAGAGCCAACGCACTTTAATTCAATATTATAGGTCAACAGATGATCCTTCACTCGTTGCTATGAGCTATCTGGTCTGGTCACCGTGACAGCTGTGGTCTGTGACCCCTGGATTAGAGATCAAGTTTAGGGATTTGACTGAAACTTGGGTTTGAATGGGGGGTAATYTCAAAGGCGTTGGATTGAAGATTAAAGATCTACATGCGTGGCATATGGAGGCCATCGTAAGTATTCACCAAGAGTGTAGCTTGCAGGCGGACAGGCAGAAACCATGTTAGTTTCATTCGCTGTCGCATCCCCCCCCCCCCCAGTGCCTGGCAGGTGCTCAATAAATATCTGTTGACTGACTAACCGACTGAATGAATGAACGAATGAATGAATGAACGATGGGAGAGCTCAGCGAGGTTTGGAAGGTTGCTCTGAAAAGCAAAGTAATTCTGATAACAGAATTATCGCCAGGACCTCAAGGTACAGTTTGGAAGAAAAGTCCACCGGAATGTGCCCTGCTCCGTGACGGCGTTCGGGTGGTGCGCAGGCAGCAGGCATCTGCAACGTCCCTCGGGAGCCAGGCAGGGCTGCCTTGCCCAGGACTGGACAGAGCCACGTCCACTAGCTCTTCCACGGTCTCGTGAGGGGCAGACGTGGAAATCAGGCTGTTCSGTTCCCTAGACCTCTGCCATCGGATCAGCAACGACTGAGACCCGCCCGCGGAGGTCCCCCACCCAGCTCAAGTCTAGCCTACTCCCCTACGCCTGGACCATGCCCACACTAGACATGGCTTCCCTCAGGCTTCACGCCGCAGGACCGCGCCCGGAGCCGCGAGTCCTAGAGTCCGGCTGGAGAGGCGCTCGGTTCCCACAGTCAACATGGCGGCCGCCGCGGCTTCAGCCCCSGGCGGGCGGCGCTGAGAGGCGGTCACGTGAGCGGCCCAGCTGGGCGGACCGCGCGCGCGCCCGCCCGCCCCGCCGGCCGCTGCTCGCTCGCTGGCTGGCTCGGCGGCGCTCTGAGGTGTGTGGGGCGTCGAGCCCCCGGGCCCGGTGAGGCGCGGCGCGGCGGGATGCGCCGGCGGCCGTGGCGGGGTCCCGGGCCGGGCGGGCGGGCGCGGTGATGAGCGTCGGCGGCCGCCGCCATGTCCAAGGTAACGGCGCCCGGGCCCGGGCCGCCGGTGGCGGCGGCGGGCGGGAAGGAGAAGCGCTCCTTCAGCAAGCGGCTGTTCCGGAGCGGCCGCGCGGGCGGCGGCGGCGCGGGGGGCCCCGGGCCGGCCGCGCCCTCCTCGCCCTCTTCGGCGCGTTCCGTGGGCAGCTTCATGAGCCGCGTCCTCAAGACGCTGTCCACGCTCTCGCACCTCAGCTCCGAGGGCGCCGCCCCGGACCGCGGCGGCCTCCGCAGCTGCTTCCCGCCGGGGCCGGCCGCCGCGCCCACGCCGCCGCCCTGCCCGCCGCCGCCCGCCTCGCCCGCGCCGCCCGCCTGCGCCGCCGAGCCGGTGCCGGGAGTGGCGGGGCTCCGCAACCACGGCAACACGTGCTTCATGAACGCCACGCTGCAGTGCCTCAGCAACACCGAGCTCTTCGCCGAGTACCTGGCGCTGGGCCAGTACCGGGCGGGGCGGCCGGAGCCCTCGCCTGACCCCGAGCAGCCCTCGGGACGCGGCGCGCAGGGCCAGGGCGAGGTCACCGAGCAGCTGGCGCACCTGGTGCGGGCCCTCTGGACCCTGGAGTACACCCCGCAGCACAGCCGCGACTTCAAGGTGAGCCGGAGCATCCGCCGCCCGCGTCTTCCCGGGGCTCCTCCAGCCGGGCCACTTCTGCACCGGGTGCTGAGGGCGGTCGGGGCGCGTGACCGTGACCCGCACCCTGATGGCAAGGGAGATTCTTTCGTGCGTTCATCCGTCCATCCCATCATCGCTCCCCCCCACCCATCTGTTCATCTGTCCGTSCATCCATCATGGTGTATTGAGAGCCCACTGCGTGTGTGCCAGGTCCTGAGTTAGGCACTGGGGAGGGATTTTTTTTTGCCCCGAGCAAAGCGCTGCTTTCAGGGAACTTGCATCCTTGTGAGTTGATAATGGGTCAGGGAGTGTTGAACTGGGTTCAAATCCTGGTTTTGCTATTGACTAGTGGTATGACTCTCAGCAAGTTACTCGCCATCTCTGTGCCACTCACTTATTCCCCCCCCCCTCCGTTTGGTTACCAATTTATAGCAAACTAGTTGATGCGTTAGGTTGGACACTTAGAAATTCCCCATTTTTGACTTACAGATTGATATTTAGTAGTAGTCAACCTACCTATGTTAAGTGCTTCAGTTGTTTAGTACCAGGCGTATTTGTTGTTTTTTTTTTAAAAAGTTATTAAACACTTTAATAAGTTAAGAAGATAATATCAGATAGTGGTTTGAAAGAAAGCAGCACCTGGTGATGTGATTGATGAGCTGGCAGTCTACTTTAAATTGAGGGAGGTGGCTTTGGGTCCTCTTTGCTGTCTGCTGGTGTGGCTACCCGTATAGTGAGGGGGAGATTTTGAGACTTCAGCCATGGGCTTGGCCCATTTGGTGGAGGGCCATTTAGGCTGCATTATGGAATTGGGCGCTTATTTTAAGCAGAAGGGGAAGATGATTTGCAATTGTGTAAGGGACACTTTTAGGTGGGATGTTGTTGTGGTATTAAATAGAATGAAGTCACATTGTGAGGGAGTCAGTTCCTTTTTGTTCTCTTTATATCCTGATCCTGTGGAGGCGAAAGTTGCAGCATGATATTAGCCTGTTTGTAACACCTCTTCCAATCCCCCACACCCACTCTTTACAGATGGAACAACCTTCAAGTTTAGAGGCTTTGGTGGATAGCAGTAGTTAGATTTAATAAAGTCATGCTTTTATTGGGCTTATTTTTTCATTTGTCTTTTCTATGTATGGCAAGTGGTGCTGGTTTTCCATTGGTTCAATCAAGTTTCTTTCTAAAATACATTTATTAAGTAAATGATTTGATTACAATATAAAATGGTGATCTGGCCGAGGAGTCTGCACTTGGGTAAGATCCTGCTTTCTAGCTGAGAAGCAGTATTGCTGGTGTGCATCCCTTCCCTTTTAATACTTTTTACTTGTATTTTGTTTATGTTGCCCAGTAATGTTTTTCTCAAGAAAAAGTGGTTGCTGTTTGATCTTGAAAATTTGAATGGAAATACTTCAGTGAGCTAAGGGCTGGAAAAAAGAGAGTTCTGTATGAGAGATCTCAGAAGGTAGGAGAATGGCCACCAGCTGGCTATTGTAGTAGGTTCTTTGTGTTTCCTGCTCTTTGCTTAGAGCTGCCTGTAAACAGCCATAGCACTTGAAACTTTTCAAGGCCAGAGTGTGGTGTTAAGTTTGGTTTTCTGGTCTTTTTCAAAATGTGAAAGTCAGTTTCTACAGCATCTTAGCATATGAAGATTTTCATTGCCTTTTATAATACGGTGTTCATTTTTTTTTAAATCCGTGAAGCTGTGAGCAGAAGTGGGTTGATAAGTCTGCAAGTGCAGGGGCTGATTGATGACAATTTTGGCAAAGTTGGATGGATTCTTAGAGGTCATTTCCATTACTTTTTATGAAGTCATGTTCACTTTTTTATCCATTAAGCTATGAACAGAAATGGGTCAATAAATCTAAAAGTGCAGAGACTTCATAGTCATGCTTTGGCAAAGTAGAGCAGATTCTTAGAGGACCTGTATTTAAAAAAAAATGTCATCTTCTGAACCTTTACATTTTACTCGGCATTCATTTATTCACCTCCCATTTACTGAAGTTTTACTCCATCAGTTGGGAATGCATTCTGCACAAGATAGAACAGTCCCCAGTGAGAGTGCCTTAGCAGTAGAAATGCTCAATTAGCTCACGTGGGAGTTCGGGGTGGATGGTTCTGAGGTGGTTCAATGGACCTGCACCATTTCTGTTTTTCCACCCTGTTGTTCTTAGATATTATTGGCTTTTTAGTCTCATGCCTGTCACCTCATGGTTGCCGGATGATGGCAGCTGCAACACCCTACATTCTACCCAGGAAGGCAGGAAGTCATTAGGGAAATAGAAGTTGTTCCAGAAGCCCCTGCAGCAGGCTTCTGCTGCATCTCACTGATATAACTGTGGCTGCCACGGAGGCTGGAATGTGGGCATTGGAGTTTCCTGCCTTCTTGGAGGAGCTAAGTGGAGGAAGCGCTTGCCTCTTATGCATCCCATGAGAGAGCCTCACCTAATGTATGTCAGGCACCATCTTTTGAGGAAGACACAGTACCTGTCTCTGAGGAGTGCATTCATGAACGCCACACTAAAGTGCCTCAGCAACACTGAGCCCAGGGCTGGCAAATTCCCCGAGATAGCACTTCTTACACTTTAACTTGCACACAACTCACACTCGTAATTTACATGGGGATCTTATTACAAAGCAAATTGGGATTTAGTAGAACTAGAGCGGGGTCTGGGAATCTGCATTTATTTCTAACCAGCCCTGGGGTGATGCGGATACTGATAGTGCTGGCCCAAGGACCATACTTTGAATAGCAGGCTCAAAGGAAAAGTAAAATAGTACAGAAAAGGTGACTGGAACAGTGTTCTGAAGGATGACTAGAAATTTGCTGGGCAGAGAAGTGATGGGGCTGGCCTAGAAGAGCATGTATTTTTTGGGGAAACATGTTTAATGGCTGGTTGTATCTTGGAGAGCCATGGGGTGCAGAAAGCTCCCTCCATGTTATAAGGGGTTGTGAGTGGCTGTGTAGGCTGGTTTTGAGTTATCATTTGGAAGTTGAGAATCCAGAGCCAATTTTTTTTTAATTAACATTTTTTAGTTTTCGGCGGACACAACATCTTTGTTGGTATGTGGTGCTGAGAGTCGAACCCAGGCCGCATGCATGCCAGGCGAGCGTGCTACTGCTTGAGCCACATCCCCAGCCCTTCAGAGCCAATTTTTAATAAGAGAGCGATATGATCGGATTTTTTTCCTCTCCTTCTCTGTCTCTCTCACTTTTCCATTCAATTATGTAAACCTGGTGGCACTGTGGTGATTTGTGACTTTTATTTTTCCCCTCAAATCTTTTATTTTAGCCAAACTTGATGAGCATTATTTTGAGTATAAAGAACATGGAACCCCAAGGAGATGGACATGAGGCTCCCTGTCACCATATCCCTTGCCTGCTTGTGGCAGATGTTGATAAAGATTCTGATACTCTTGTTCAGAGCTCATATTTGGCCTCAGCATCCTGCTCAGTTCTGGTGTCTAGGCAGCCACCACCAGTTGGTTATTGTTGGCAGAGGAGATAAAACCAATTTGCCATTTTGAGGTAGTTTGCCTTTAGGTCCAGAAGAGCATTCACGTCTTTGAATGTGCTTTAATCATCTGAAAATGTTCCTAAGTTTCTAATGCTTCTCTCTGCAAGGTTTTCAAGTAGAATTCCTACTTGCTTTCTAACCACATTGATTTGAGCGTGAGGAGCTTGCCAGGTTAATGGTGTTTTGGTCTGATCTGGGCTAGGTGGTGGTAAAGTTGGATTTTCATATCCCAGAATGAAACAAGTTGAGTGGCCCCGCCTTGATATGCTTTAAGAAACTTCTGTAGCTGTCACTTATATGGTGTCTCTCTCTCTCTCTCTCTCTCTCTCTCTCTCTCTCTCTCTTTTTTAAAAACAGGTGTTTTTTTCTGCTCTTAAAGCACTGATTTTCAGCCAGGGCACTTTTGCTTCCCTCCACACCTCTCCCTCCCTACCCCTTGGGACACTTGCCTGTCTTTGGAGACATACTTGGTTGTCACAGCTAGGGTGGAGATGCTGCTGGCATCTTGTGGAATTCCAGGGATGTCACAGAACATTTCAGGGCAACCCCTCTGGTAAAGAATTATCCATCCCCAAATGTAAATAGTGCTGAGGTTGAGAAAGTGTTGGAGGAATGTTTCCAGCCTCTTCTGCAGTTTTCCTTCCTTTTTCCCTCTCCATCCAGGGTTGTCTTGCTACTCTGGCCTTTGCCTGTGCACGTGTTTGCAGCAGCACGAGGGGAAAACTTGGATTTGACCCTATGTCAGTCGTTTTCTTGGTAAAACAGTGAAAGTAAACATATAGTGTTTAACCTCTATACTAGTCTGTGCCATTTTAAGGGGAAATCTACTTACTGCTCTCACTTTAATAGGGGCATGGGTGCTCCAGATTCTTGCAGATCCTCTTTGATTTCTAGTTCTCAGTGCCCTTTTGCAACAAGTAAAAAAAAGAAGGCTAGGCATCTTTCAAGCAAGAAAGGTGAGTTTTATGTCAGCAATTTTCAAAGCATGTTCTCAAAGAACAGCTAGGAACAGAGTGATCTACTGATAAAAGAACTATGGGGACTTCTTCCAAATTTGCAATAAACAAGAAGTAATTGATTAAAAGACTTTTTTTCTCCCATATGTGTTCCCGTGCACCTTAATGCCTGGTTCTTATTAATCAGACTTTTGAAGCAGAAGTGCATAAATGAGTTAAGTCCAACAGCCTAGCAATCAAGATTACACTTGCTTAGTGTCATACCCTATTTTTCCATGGACTCATGCTGGGGAGCTCTGATGATATGCTATAAACAAATGATGTTAAATTTCCTGGTTTGTGTAAAGCTTTTTTTTTTTTTTTAGATGTAGATGGACACAATACCTTTGTTTTGTTTATTTACTTTTTTTATGTGGTGCTGAGGATCAAACCCAGTGCCCGACACAACGACACAACGTTAGGCGAGCGCTCTACCACTGAGCCCCAGCCCCAGCCCCTGTGTAAAGCT